TTTATTTTTAATACCATGTTTATTGTAAAATACTGTTATGATATGACTACACAAGTTTTTATTTGAACATATTTTATTTACGAACTAGACCCATGGTCTTCATGCGTCTTCCAGGTCAGGTGCTGGTCCACGTGTACACCCAATAGCTTTGTGCAGGAAATCCGTTTTAGTGGAGTATCGCCACAAGCGATAGGAAGTTTTCGTTCTTCTAAACTGTGATATCGCGCCATCTGTGGAGTGGAAATAAGCATCCAGTTTGTCTTGGAAGAATTCAAGGCCATGTTGCAATTCTTAGAATAGTCCCTCAGGCTTGTAAGTGCTTTATTTATGTGATCTGCTGAAGAATTGAGATCACTAGGTTTCGAGTGGATGTAAAACGTCATATCGTCAGCATACTGATAACAGTCACACTGCAGCTCGCTCCGGAGGTCGGCGACATAGAGAATGGAAATAACCGGACCCAGAATTGAGCCTAAAGAACGCCCGAATTCCACTGTTGCCATATCTGACTTCTTGTCGTCAATTTGCACCAACTGTCTCCTATGAGTTAGATAGTCAATCATCCATAGTAAGAAGTACTTGGAGAACCCTAGGCTGTGCATCCTAGAGACCACCGACCTAGATTGGACGGTATCAAAAGCATTGCTATAGTCTGCGCAGACCATCAGTGTCACCTCTCCTCTGCTTGATGCCTGCATTAGAGCGTCGCGGATCCCCAGTAAAACAGGTAGTTGTTAAATGACCTTTCCGGAATCCTAATACTGTAGGACCAAGTAGCGCTTCCTCATTGATATAAACAATGAGCTGGTAGAGCGCCAAGCGCTCGAACACTTTAGATAGTGTCAGTAGAATCAAGACGGTAATCAGCGTCAGACAAGGGTTCATCAACTTAAGGAATAGGGGAGATTCATGCTATCTTCCAGAGTCTGGGAAAACTTGATGTTGCAATACAACGGTTGATTAAATGTGTTAAAGGACCCGATATATGTTCCTTGGCTAGTTTTACAAATTTCACCGGAATCTGATCTATGCCAGTTGATGTATCGGAGCGAAGTTTATCGATCTCTTTCTCAACTTCAATTGAGGAGACACAGTGCAGGTTAGAAGGATGCGAGGTCCGAGGACACTCCGAAAAAGAGTTCACAAGGTCTATTATATCTGATCTTTTATCCGGTTTGGTACCTAGTGTTCTCTCGTTTTTACTTAATATGCTTTAATTGTAAAAAAATGTGATTTACCGGTAGATTATTTTGTATAAGCAATGCTAAAATGGATAGGATGCAAATTGAAATAAAGGCAGCCATTGGCCAGAAATCATGCTTATTTCTTTGATTTCTATCAGGATAAACTGAGTCAAACCTTACCTATCCTGAGTTCAATGATGAGTCGGGACGTCAAGGAGAAGTTGCCATGAACGTACTACCTTTCTATACTTTTCCTAGGCACTCATTCGTTGTTCAAACTCAGAGTAAAACGAAGCTGTCGGAATAGCTGTACTAGAATTCGCGCAGAATAAAAAATGGAAGGTCCTTTTCTGAGTCAAAAAAATGCCGAGGCAAACGACACAGGCGAAACCTCTCCTTGTGAATAATGCATCGCAAACACGACGCCGGAATCTAGTCTAATGATGTCTTCAGATTTGCAGGTAGATGAAATGATATGCTAAATGTTTTCGACAAGAAATTTCTGATAAATGTGCAAGGTGTTCGATTGATAATTTTCCCTGCGTGGCATTGGAAAACATACAAATTTTCGAACCACTATTCGAATGAACAGTCTTGACTGTCATGCAATCAAAATGAACTGCAAACCGACGAGACAAATCAACACGTCACTACACTGATTCCCCTTCATTCAACTGAATTCGTTTCCAACTCTCTCTCTAATGGTTTCGAGAAACAAAACCCGATTGAATTTAGCTCTTCTTAGCAGACGTGATTTTCTCGTTTCTTTGTTGTTCCGTTATTGCTTTTAGTCAACTGATCACTCAAACGGATGACAATAAAAGGTGAAAAGGTTGAACGTCCTGAAGGAGTATTATCCTGTGGCAGTGATTGTTTAGAAATGGGTCGTTCTTCGAGCTTTGAATTTTCCACAGAAGACCCAAACGATCGCTGAATAGTGTTCGGCCTAACTGTACTCAGCTTAAATGAAACCTCGCAACGGACTCAATAGCTTTAATGACCACTTTCAGTGTCTAGACGTCAAAATATGATGAAACAAGGGTCGAAACCGATGCCTGTTAAACGGCAGAGCGAAAGTATCATGGAAGTGACGGAAGATCTAGAGCTCCTATGTATCGAAGAGGAGGTTAACGACATGGAGAGGGCAAAGGAACTGCATGAGAAGAGAGTCGCTGAGTTGAGGAAAACAAACGGAACTTTGAAGATGATAAGCTCTTACTGATCAGTCGAGGTCAAGCACGCATTCCCTTTAAAAACGGAGACGTGCAAAACTTTAACTTTTATATTTGATCAAACTAAAATGCCAAATTAGTTACAAGTCCATACAAATGCAGTGATTTCCAGAACCTTGCGTTGAGATGGTCAATGCCATGCTCATGGAATGTTACTATTGCGTCGGACAACAGACCTAAGAAATTCCATTCAACTAAAACTCATAAAGATGTACATCAAATGTCAACATTGACGTAGACGTATGTTTTCCTTCAAATTGCGGGATGCTTATTACTGAACGCTAAGTCTTATCTAGACTAATATGTTGCGTATAATTAATTAAGATGTAAAGATAAATAAAGTTTTGACATCATAAATGTAGGACGATTTTCAGGACCTTGTTTTTAAATTAACAGTACGTTATTTATGGCATATTATCATTTGCGACAGACAGCAGAACTGAGTGATTTGATTTCATGAAAAGCATGAAGGTGTAAACAAAATGTCAACATTGATGCAAAGTTATGTCTTCTTTCAATCCTACTTGTTCTGAGAGCTGATCCTGCATTGTAAGTTTCGTCTAAACTTATGTATTTATGAGTAGTTCACCAACGAGTGTCATTGAAGCAATCAAAGTATCTAAAAATTTCTGCCTGTCAACGTGTATTTTAACAAAAAATTACTGTTTACATCGACAACATGCTGATCTTTCACATCAGTCCTTGTGGTTATTAGGCACACATACAAAAGTCAAGGAACAAGCCTAAAAGGAAGTCAGTTGACATTTAGGCATACGGAACATGAATTTATCACGGAAATTTACATTTTCAAACCTGAAGAAACAATAGAGTGTGTTTCCAATGTAAGCACACGCGGAAAAAAACATTTTCGATGATACAGACAACAACCCCATTGTGCAAAGTAATTCTTTTAAACTACTTCAAGTTGAAACTAGTCCTGTTTTTTCTAATTGCTGGACATGTGGTCGTGAAATGGATAACCTGTTCTAGAACCTTCATGCATGGACTTAAACCTCCCAATCAGATGCACATCAGGTCTGCAGACGAAAATATTATCTCGAGATATTCTAGACCAGATGAAAATTAATTAAGATCGTAAGTCTTGATCTGATACGGGTGGTGAGAAAAATATTCAATGGAATCATTATTTCAACACTTTTACCATCATTATGGTAAAAGTGTTGTTCTCGTGAAAGATTCTCTATGTTGGCGACCTCTGTCAATTGATATCCGTCGATGTTGACAGGTTTAGGTTAAGTCAACCTTCCTCCTTTCTCCTTCAATTTGGGCTACTTCGTGGTGAAGGCACTTGAGCTACCCTTTTCCTTCACTGTTTCTCTGGCTAACAGATGAGGTAAGACAAAGTAAGACAAAGGCAAGGGTTGTGCTCGATACTCTCGACTAGTTCACGGTCATGTCCAGAATCGGAGACAGATTCGAAGTAATTTTTTCTAGTCTCTCGTAATGCTTTTAAATACTACCTTTGTCATTACAAGGAATTTTGCGACGGTGAAATACAGTGGCAGCGAAACCTCCAAACGACCTCTATCCAAACTATGATAACAATTTCAGGCAGATTGAGAGAAACACTTAGCATTTAGTAGGGCGTAAACATAATTGGTGTAAACATAATTACCGGTAGTTTGTAAATTAATTTTCTGAATTTAATTTGTCCTATGCATGGTTATCAGTTGTGTCAAGTGAAGTACACCTAAATTTCTTCGTCCCTGTTGCTAGTTCTCTCGTTACACTTCCACAACACATTTAGAAAACAAACTTGGTTGACAGCTTATGTTTTTGGACCGTCATACGAGTGATATTCCATTAAATTCCAGCTTTCCGTTGTAAGTGGATAATATTAAATGTTGATCTGGTTGTGTGACTCAATTTAGTGACTGCCGATTCAATGAAAATACAAATAATCGCGTTTCTCATCGAGACAAATATATGATTTTAACAGACGCGTAGTGCAATCACATATACCATAAAAGAACTTTACGAGCAGACATTTTGGCTCACGCTTCAGTTGATTATGTATTGGTCCAAGTTATTGTTTTTCTCCATTTATTATCTCAGCATCGGAAATTTAGCAGGAGCAAAACGTGAGTCACTATTGCGGAAGTGGCACCACTCGTACAACTGCATGCTGTATGAATGCCAGCACGATGGCGTTCGTGCCAAAGGAAGATCCCAAAGGTACGCACAGTTCGCTTAAAATATTTTAATGACCATTCTTATTCATATTTTTGGTAGACGTGAACCAAAACGTCTGCTGGTACCCAGGGTAGAAAAAGCCAAGTCAAGTCAATCTTTTGACTACGAGTTAATTTAGTATTATCAACTATGTTGCAAACGTAAATTAGCCCCCGTAAAGGGTAAAAAAGCTGACGTTTCGAGCGTTTGACTACGAGTTTGTTATTTTACTCTATTATTTTTGGTAACTTGATAGTTCAATTTTTTGAAACGTGAACCAAAACGTCTGCTTGTAAAGTTCTTTAAGTCTTTCACTACTGAGGTAATATAAAATAGAATTAGCATGCTCTCGCATTTCATTTCGTGAGATGGTTGATTGTACAAGGGACCAGGGAGAGTACGATTTCAGGGGGAGGTGGAGGTTTTGTTCGATTCTCGTATTTCATGTATGTGACATGTTGTCGTCTCGCCTTATTTTGGATATTTATGCCTTCTTTTAGATTGTTTGCGAGTGGCTGTAGATGTTTTTGAGGTGGTTGTTGAAATTTTTGAGGTAGCTGTAGTAAGTTTTAGGTGGTTTTAGGTCGTTCCATGTTTTAGTACTTCCGGGTTACGTCAACCTTCCCCATTCCCCGTTTCTCTGGGCTAGTTTAGAGTGCAGATGTTTGAGCTGCACCTGTCCTTCACTACTGCTCTCGTTAGCATAGTAAGTAAGGCGCAGTAAACGGTTTTCTTCAATACTTTCAACTAATTCACAGTCAGGACGAGAATCGGAGACAGATTCGGAGTAAATGTTTTCTAAAATCTCTCGACGCCCGTCGACATATCTCTGTCATTAGGCGGAATCCGCAACAGTCGAGATCACGATGGCGAGGAGAACAACACATAGACCTCTTAACGCGGTAAGCGTCTATCGAAGCACGTCTAATTCTGAGCTACAGGCTGACTGAAAGCTCTTGATTTTTTTCACGCACACAAATAGGCTCAAGCTTTCGATAGTATTCACATTCAGTTTGGTTCTTTTAAAGCTAAAAATATTTTGAAATCGACCGCGTGCGACAACATACAACCATGTTCGTCTGATTAGTTGTGCATCTTACACCTGACAACAGAGTGTGTTTACCACATTTGTTATCTCTGTCTCACTGATCTTCTGCTTTATGTAAAATTGTCCGAATATATTCATGTAACAAGAATGGGGACATACTCAAAAGATCACTGGTGTCTTACGAGCAGTTTCTGTGGTAGATTCTTTTTTAGAAATGGTCTATAACGACACGGATTTGCTTAAAACCCTGTATGCTTTGTCTCTGCAAAAAAACTTTTATCTCCCATACCTCTTCCTTAACCTGAAGACTACTTCTCAGTCATTAACGCTTTAATTTGGCTGGATTTATTTCTATTTGCTGTTCTTCAGCAATCCCATGGTGAGAAGTATATATAAGCAAGGCAGCAATAACTGTGCTAGATTATGATGGATTTGGCCTCCTTTTTAGAACTGTTTGAATGTTTATCTTTAGTCGAAAGCCTGTAGATCAGCGGTAGAGTTAGGACGGTTACGAAACCAATCTATTTTGGCATCAGATCAATTGATGTGTCTGAACGTTCTGCAGCTGATGGAAGAAATGAGAAATTTTCTAGTTAAAGTTTTCAAGCTTTATTTGAAGCAAAGGAGTGGCATTGTTTTACCCTTGAGGCAGGACTTCATCCAAGGCCGAGTACTGCAAAACACTATACTGGCTTAATTAGGGTTGGCAAGGTATTTTTTTTTATCCAGGTTTATTTATTTCCATCTACCTTTTTATACAAGGGATATCAATGGATCTTAAAAGACCTGGAGGATACTCAAAATCAGCTACGTATACTGAAACAATACTATTTTAAAGTGAAGGAAATTCAGCAGCAAACTAACTTGGTTACTCCAGAAGGCAATCAGGTATTTGAGGCTGGTGCTGAAAGACGTCTTGCAGACCTTGAGAGGGAGAAATGTACCATTTTCATCACTGGTAAGTTTAAAAATAGGTACCCATAGGGTACACTGTTCTCCAAGCGAAAACATTTGTGCACTTGAAGCCAACATCTGCACTGCTAGCCAAAAGACACTTATAAGCAGACAGCCCTACATATGGCTGCCTTCACAAAACCTAGTTTGAATTAGCACACCAACTTTGTATCTAAACATTCTTGCAAGTGGACATTGATGAAAACAGTGATAGATATTGTTAGGGGTTATGATTTCCTTTGTTTTTAATTTCTCCTTAGCAGACACTTGAGGTAAAATCATAGTAGCCTCCAAATTGTATTTTAAACAACAAAGACTCCACATTGCTGCCTGCAATACTGATCTGAAGTGCAATTACTATCAATGCACCAATCCAACATGTATGGTTTGTTCTTTGATCTCTATTATAGGCCATTCTAGTACTGTGGTTGGAGCAGTATTGTGTACAGTTAATAACAGCCAATTGTGGATCATATTCACAGTATGTATCTCATATTTTTTAACAGGTGAGACCAGTGCTGGTAGGAACAGTCTGATCAATCTATTGCTTGGTGAGCAACTTCTTCCTTCCAATATCCAGGAAGAGACTATGACTACCTGTGAAATATCCCATGGTTCAGAGAAGGAAATTGTGCTACACTTTTCCAACAAGAGTGAACATAAACGTATCCTCAAGGGAGGAAACATTGAGGACCAAATCAAAGAGTACATTCAAAAGTCAACAAAGGATGAAGATTGGTGCAAGAAAATAGAGATAATGCTTCCCAACACATTATTAGAGGTAAGAATGTTACTCAATCAATCATCAATCTTCTATTATCTACTATGTATGAAAAGGAAGGTTATAATAATAACCATAATTTTAATCTTATTGAGACTTCATAGTTTCTTTCAAGTTTACTTAATCAGATCACCAAGCCTTAACAAAATACCTGATTATGTTTCTTCATTAAGACCCTCAAACTATACCTAGAATTCTAAAAGTTTAGCAACTGTACATTGAAGATTCAAATAATTCTTTAGAGCATTTGTCCCAGGAGACTTACCACATTTGGGCTTTAAAGGACATTTTGTCACTTTTTCTTTCCTTTTTCCCTTTGGCCTCCAACAATGGAGCTTGAAGATTTCTTGAACCTTTTTCAGATTAAGAATTTGCTTTAGATTTATTTTCCTGACAGGGATGTTGCACTTTTTTGGCTTTTTCGAATTGCATAATTTATTAATCCTCTTTCTCTAATTTAGGGTGGTATAGTGATTGTGAACAGCCCAGGAATTGGTGAATCAGATCATGTTAAAAGCATTTTCATGGACAACCTTTCTCAAGCTAATGCTTTCATTTACATGATAAACAGTCCACAGGCCGGAGGATTGCAAGAGGACATGGTAAGCAATGTCAAGCATTTTACAAACCTGTTGAACTTGCACATCAAAATTTAGTAAATATTACTGAAAATTAGTGGTGGTGCCCAAGAATTCACAACATTAACAGAATGTTTAATTTTCATATATTCACCATTATTACTTGTAACAATTAACAAAGAAAAATAGCAAGCAAACCAGAATGCATCAATCAGAGTCCAGTATGTCCAAGTGGAAATAGTGCAGGTGCTGTAATGCCGAAATCTCATGCCACATATGGGGCGGCTATTTAAGGCAACTTTTATCATCCACAGCTCATAAAGTAGTTACTCACCTTTTTTATAGGGCCATGTATTTTTCATGTAATATGTGACAGTGTACATGGATTCTGAAGAAACATATTCAGATAATGAATACTCATAAAGTGATCATTCAGATGATACTTATGACAGTAGTTTTGTAAGAATTCTGCAGCTTTCATGATAACAAATGTAACATAGTAAGAAAATCTGTGTACTATAGAATATACTACCTTAATAAAGTCATATTTAATTTACAACCAAAAATATGATCTAGAAATAACCACAGAGAATAAAAACAAGAAGATAGTTGTGTTTTAAAAGATAAACCATGTGTTACTACAGATCAATAGCAATAGAAAACGGATGATTAATATCAATTTCATCATGAAACAGATAATAAATAATATGCAAATTAATTCAGATTATGTAAAGTAACCAAGATACCGGTACCTGTAAAAGTTACCCATTGATTATCTGAGTTAAATTCAAACATGACATTATTAATGATGGTCTTCCACCTGCAGTGTGTGTAGTTAATACTAATGCATCATTATCAATGTTACTTTTGTAATAAGCAAAATGAATGATTTCATAATATCCATTTTTTTTTATTTTGAATTTTTTGTAGTGATCAAAAACTGTGAAATATGATGGATGTGAAATAGTTCATTCTGAAGTGTTGAACTTAATATATGGCAAATAGTTAAATATATTTAATTTATAATTGTAGTAAAAAACAGGAAAATGTCTAATGTTATCCATGCATGATTTATTTACAGCATCAATATCATTAGTTGGTGATACTAAATTGATGATTTTACCTTTAACCATCCTGATATCAGCAGCCATTGCTGTCTTTCCATCAGACCCAAAATCTCCTTTGTCACCTTTTGGACCCTGTAGACAAGGCTCACCTTTTGGTCCCTCAAAACCTTGCAAACCTGGTGGACCACGTATACTGATCACTCTATTTTGTCTTGTATCACCAACAGCAAAATTACCCATATGATATATATAATATATGTTTATACATATTTAACCGACTTTTTAAAAAGAAGTTGACAATAAGGACAATCATCTAGCATCCCACCATTGGATACAGTTATCTTTGCTTTGTATCCAGCAATGGATACATTGAAAGTAATATGACCACTATGTGTGACAAAAGAAAAATGCGTGCTATTTGATATTAAAACATTACCTCCACTTTTAACTGGTCCTACTATTAAGTACCATTATCGTTACCGTTGTTGCAATAACAGTAAACATTTTGCTTGTTTATCATCAAACACTTTCTTTGTAATAGGATTATCATCATTAGCTGCATCTTGTATTTTCAACTCTTTAGGTCATTTTAACAGGCGTTATGAAATCAAGAGTATACCATTAGTTATTTCAAACTTTTTATCCCACATGCTCAATGGAACATCACTGTAATATCCTGAAATGCCATAAACTATGACATGAATGACCAAATCCTGTGAATAAGCCAGAATTGACTTATTTTGCAATACCAAATCCCTCATCAAATGGTTAGTTGTAGATTATTGTACTTGTTTATATGAACCAATGATCTGGTGTGATCTGCAAATTAATTAGTTGAAACCCTAGAAATTGTCTCTGCACTACTTCATACATATTCAAATCAACATGAGATGAATAACATCCTTGGCTGGAATCTAAATTGAGTTTCATTTCATAGGTTTTTTTTACTGAACTGATGAAAGTCTTGATCAATGAATTTAAGCCCTGTGATATCATCTTCACCACTAAACTGCCCACTTTTGCTCTTAATGTATACAAATGTGTTTCCAAATCTGTACTTCCAATAGACTGATTTAATCTATCATTAACATACTTCTGATAATTAGTAGCTGTTTGTTTATTATTATTGTTGATAGTTGTATTGATAAAATTAACATCAGCAGCATGTGTGCTTTCATGCACCTGTGACTGTTTGACATAATTCTTACTTCTGCTATTCATATTCAAATTACCAGTCATCACCCTCGTACAATCAGTTTTCAACGAACTACTTGTTTTTGTATCAACATAGCTTTCATTGCTTCCATCTGTTGCACTTGTTTGGTCCACTACATTAATCTCCTTATTGCCTTTCATATCAAAACCAAAGTAAAGGTTTTACTATCAACATATTTCTTGTTGACCACTGCATGCTTATCACTATTATCATTGCTGTCATAATCTGGTATTAATAACATGCTTTTCAATGTCTGGGGTAACAGATCATCTATATCTATTTTCTTATTTGTGATATCTTTCGTCTGCTTCAAGGTCACAGCCTCATCATCATATTGAACTCTACTCTGGTCATAAATGGTCTTACCATCAGAATCCCATCTGTTACCACTTCCAAATCTCAATAATTGGTTATCATCACTTTTTTTTTCTGTATGTTGTCTCCCAAAATACCTTAATAACTGCATCATCATTTGAGGTGGGTGTATGCACATTCTTAATACAGTTATTATTCAAATTAATATCAACTAAGAAAGTCTCAGAGCCATTCAGAATATTGTTTGCAAAGGCATCAACATACTTTTTAAAAAACTGAAAAATGAGATATCTGGTTATGTATGCAATATGACCCAAGAACAACCACTGAAGAGCTTGGTCATTGGGCCAGGGAATGCCATGGTGATGTATCCGTTCATCCATTTGATAGTACCTACAATAAATTCCTTACTTTCACAAACAGTAATACAAGAACGGGTATAACTGTGGTGTACACTGTTAAAGATCATCATTGTTGCCCTGTTACTGATTATAATTTGAAGATAGCTCCAACAAAGGTTAATCAGAGGAGTTTTAGTGATCAGTGTTAAAGCACATGTCGGATATCACATGGACCTGAAGACATGAGAACATCACAAAGTTGAAATCAGTTGATGACATTGAAAAAATGAATGAAAAAAATATCATTGTACTACCTGAAGATGTGAGAATGCCTGATGCTGTTAATGGGTATATCGAGAAATCAAACTATTACCTTGAATACTTACATTGGAACAATAATAACTATTTAGATGGGTTCACTGATCATGATAAAAATATTAATGTGATGAATGATGAGTATGTATTATGTGAGAGATCAATATGTGATAAATTGTATGATAGGCATAAGATGTATGACTTTCTTTGGACCAACCAATCATATCCCAGTATATCCAATGCATTGCTCAAGCAACTAAATGTATTTTTAAGACTGCTAAACAAATGCTGGATGACTTTTATCCAAGGGCATTACAATGGTGTTCAACAGATGATATACCATATAATTTAGTAATTGTGGACATCTCTAATTCCTATCCCAATGTGCTATTAAATGATACCCATAATACCTTTGCACAGTATTTATGATGCGGTAGAGAACTTTAATTGTAAGAGTGATCGGGAAAAATGTGGTGAGTTTTATATTGATGAGACTGTAATCAACTATTACACCCATAATTATAGAAGCAGGTTTTTACAGTGCTAATCTGGTAGGATACTTAGTAGAGGTACTGCACATGCCAATCGCACAGATAAAATACAAAATCACGACCAAAAGAGCCTTAAAACCAGATACTTTCAAGGGGTGTATTAAGTTCATTGGATGAATTACCAGAAGCTGAAGCCAAAAAGATGGCTAATAGTTTAATCCGTGAACTCAGTCAGCAAGATCAGCCATGGTTTTATATGTAGAGAATATGATACTGCTATGTGTAGTTGGACATCTGCCATGAATAAAGAGAGGAATCTTACTATTCATCACTGTAAAGGCTTGTAAACAATTGTTTTTTGATAATACCAGTATTGACCCTTTTTGTGGTATCAGAAGCCATACTAGAGTGTTTGTAGCTCATTGATTGCTGTTGTTCAAAGAATAGTGTGTTTTATGGTTATAATAAAGTTAGTATTTATATTACAAACAATAAAATGAAATTCAGGAACAAGAAAGATATTAAGGTTAGCACAAAATAGATTGGCAAAGCATTTGAGACAGATTCCAAGCCAACATACTTTGAGATGCATTAAAGAGAAAACATGTGCTTTGATGACTATGAGAACAGATTGGGTAAAGGATGTATATATAATGAACAGGCTGGTAATGGTGAAACATAAAAGCTTGGTGAGTTGGTAAAACAATCAGATGATTGTATTGTGTTGTCATATACTAACAAAGCTTTGGAAAATGTTAAATCAAGGTTGCAAGCTTTTAGATATGAAAAGACACAAGTTAATAACTCTTGATAATTACTTCTTTGGAATTGGTAAAGACGAGTATGGATAGCTTTGATGGGAAGGATATTTTCATAGAAGAGTTTAGTATGCTTTCTAATAGATGGATGACTATGATTTTTAAAGCTTTTGCAAAGTTCAATAACAAGGTATACTCATTTAGTGATTGCAGTCAATGTGAACCTTTAGAAGCTGGTAGTCAAATGCATTATATAATTATCAGTTATCAGCACTATCAATCAAATGTGTAGCAAAACAAAGACAATGAAAGATATTGAACATCCTAGTAGATATGATAAAGAGACCAATAATATGCATGGTACATTCGTTGACACTGAAAGATATCCACTTACTTTGAACCAATTGGTAAGTACAATAAGAAGATCTGTTATCTGAATGCCACCAGGATAAGATTAAATACGGAATGCTGTGATAGGATTGTAGTGAACAAGAAATATGAAACCATTGACTTAAAGTTTGAGAAGTATAAAGTTTGCATTGGTACTCCTATAATTGCAACACAAAATATCAAAGACAAACAGATCTTCAATAAATGGAGTTTATTGTTGAGGATATTAAACATATTAACGTTAAGGTAAATGGTAAATGTTTGACCTTGCTAAGTTTGCAGAACACTTTATCCTCAGTTTCTCTGTTACAGTGTATAAATACAAAGATGCAGACATAAATGATAACTATAATATAAATGATGTCAAGCGCATAGATTAAAAAACAATTGTATACTGCATTATCTCGTACCAGAAAGTTTGAATTCATTCGTCTGAACTTCAAAGAGCTAAACAATAGATATATTACCAGAGAACAACCTACGTTGGAACTGACAAATAGTAAGTTTAATAGTCTATAAAAGAATGGTAAGATATATAAGATAATGTTTGATGACGGTAGATTATATGTAGGTTCAACATGTGAAGAACTAAATACAAGGTTAAAATGGCATTTGTCTAACAAAAAGAGCCAGGTATACAAAAACAGAAAGGATAACCCCAAAATTGAGCTCATTGTTACATCTCCTTCTGCTGATGAAAAACTTTAGAAAATGTAAAAAATTGTTATATCAATGAGTATGCTATTAAATACAACAATTAGTTGATAAACATCAGATCCGTTAAAAAAGAGAAAGAAAGTGGAGTATAATGTTGATGTAGAGAGGGAACAACAACTAAGGGAAAGTGTGGGATTACTTGACAAAAGACGCCGAGAGTCTTCTGTAAGAAATTTTATTTCATCTTAACTTTTTCACTTTTTAGCTTCGAGTATTGGATGAATGGAAGAAGCTCTACGAAGGAAGAGAAGAACCAGGCATCACTGCTGAATCTGCTCTTTTCGTCTGCAACAAGTGGGATGCAATGGAAGGAAAAGATGACAAAACCGAAACAGAGGAGCTCCAAAAGAACATCATACGCAGACTAAGGGAAAGAATTCCCAAACTTGATGAAGAATGTCAAGTGGTCAGAATATCTATGAACACAGCAAAAGAGGAGCTAATGGAGTCAGGCAAGATGAATGATGATCTGTACACGCTCATTTGTGCAATTCAGGACCTTTTACTCCGTGATGTAAAAATGAAAGCTACCTTCTTCTATCTGTAAGTAAAAAAAGCTTCTTGTTTGACAATCTAATCTATGGGAAACGAATTTCAGAACGTATTGATTCAAATTTACAAATTTAATCTTTTAAAAACCAGATTTGCAAAAATTCGCCCGCTGTCTTGAATGATTGACAGTGAGGCTCGTGCCCTGTCACACCTCAGTTAGTGGGTGATCACTCTGTGTCTTGGACTGTCTCCCACGATTTAAAGTCAGGCTCATGCCCTCCTGCAGCTCAGATGGTGGACTAGATCACTGTAGCGGGCGGATAGGGGAGAATTTTCAGTTTCCAAAGTAGGGGGCTTGGGAAGGGAGGTGAAACTTGCTGCACTTTTGGGTATGTTTTGTTGAGTCTACACAGATACATCTGCTTGGATTCGCAAAACATGCCCGCTGTGTTGCAAGGTTAACAGTCAGGTTCCT